GTAGCCATACACACACACAAGAAAAAAAAAAAGACTTTTTAGTCCAATAAGACAAAACATCACATCCAACTCATAATTATTACATTCTTTCATTCACAAAAATTCGAAAATGCCAAAAAGCCCTTCTCAAATGAAGTTATTTAACCGCAAACTAAAATAGCCAAAAAATTAAAAAACCAACACACTTTCCAAACAAACCCCTAATTAAATTTCCAATTAAAAAATCTTCCCACACCAGCAAAAGTTGAAAACCACCATCTAAGAACATTTTCAACCCCTATGGTTTGAGAAGTGGTTATTTTAATTAATTTTTTAATTTTTTTTACAAAAAATAAAAAGAATGATGTGATAATTTATAATGACTTTTTAACTATATGAGTCTAATGGAAAGCTAATAATTCAGGGGTATTCTCTGTGGCCTCAGTGTGGGAAAGGTTGGAGGTAGCTAATGGATCCAGGATTCCTATTTCAAACTTCATATGGAAAAATGCAGCACCTCCAAAGGCTCAGTTCTTCAGCTGGTTAGCTTGGAAAGGGAGAATCAAAACCGCAGAATTTATGCACAGGATTGGAGCTCTACCCATCAATGTCAGCTCCTTATGTGTATTTTGCAAAGCAGAAGTCGAAACTATTAGTCATGTGTTGCTTTTATGTCCATTGGTGTGGAAGTTATGGTCTGAGTTGATAAGCTGGTGGGAAGTGCAGTGGGTAACACCAGGATCAGTGATTGTTTTGCTTGACTGGTGGTCTGGTATGAATTTGAAGAAGAAGGAGTTCAATATTTGGAAGGTGGTCCCTTTGGCTATGTTGTGGTCCTTATGGAAACTTAGGAATGAATGCTTATTTAACAATGGTAATGCAGATTTTGCACAGATGGTAGAAAGTTTGAAAGTAAGAATTGCATTATGGGTTAAGTCAAATGTTAAGGGGGTGCACTACACAGTACATGATATTGTCACAAACTTGAAGCAGGTGAGAGGGTGTCTGACATAGGATTAAGGCTGGGCTGTTAGTAGTGTGTAGGTGGAAGGTGGAAGGTGGAAGCTGAACTGATGGCTGCTGCAGCTGGAATGGTCTGAGGCCCCTCCATGGGCCTGCTGTGAGGCTGGTTTCAGGCCTGCTACTGGTGATCAAGGCAAGGTGTTGGCTGCAGGGAGAATAATGTTCTGGTGTTTCCCACTTTTCAAGTCTTGTCTGCAGCATTATGGTGATACCTGCAGATTTGTGGGCTGGATGAGCTACTGGCTTGTTTGCTAACTTTGCAGATTTGCTGTGCTGCCTAAAACAGATTCTGATCTGTTTTGCACTACTGGTTTGTGCAGCCTGGTTGGGTCTCTGCCTGGTTGTGTCTAGATAGCATTGGTTTGGTTTTTGGGTTGCAAAGGTGTGGGAAGAGCTGTAGACTGAGGTGGACAAATTATCTGAGACCTGATATCAAGAGAGGCAAGTTCAGCTTGCAGAAAGAGCAGTCCATCATCCAACTCCATGCTCTTCTAGGCAACAGTTGCAGATGCTGTGATATTGCACAGATTTTGCAGATTATAGTGAGATTGGATGGTAAGCTGGTCCATGCAGATTGATAGTGATGCTGGTCTGATATGCTCTGCAGGAGGAATGGTCTGATTTATCATTTTGCTGTGGCTGCTGGTGTGTGGATTGTATCATGTTGCTTTAGGTGGATTGTATCAAGCTTGGTTTTCTTTTTTCTTTTCCCTTTCTCTTGCTTTCTTTTGATTGGTTTCTCGCCAATCTTGGGTCAAGTGCTAGCAGATGATTTTGCTTCCTTTGCGGTGCCAACCTAGTTGGGATGGTTAAGGCTAGCGGTGATGCTTTTGCACTTCCCTCTTTATTGATGATGCATATAAAGAGAGTTTTGAGGGAATATTTGAATGTAGATCAACTTTTCAAATTTCACTTGTCACATCATTTGAGAGGGTTTGTGGGGAGGGAATTATGTCAATGAATCATTTTTCTTAAATTTGAGTAAAAATTTAAGGACCGAAAATGGCCTAACAAACTTTTTAAAATCTGGCCTGAATTAAGTTAAAATAAGCTTAAACTATTTTAAAATAGGCCTACATAGACTAGTTTATTGGTTGTCGTAATGCTTGGTTAGTTGGTTTATTGTTTAGGGTAAATTACACCAATAATGCCTATGTTTTATTTCTTGTATCATTTTGATCACTACATTTTCAATTGGCTCAATTTTGATCATTCATTTTAAATTTTGTGTCAATTTGGTCCAATTGATAATATTGTTAGTGTTTTTAAAAAAAATTATCACTAAATTGGTTGAGGTTAACTCCCTGAGTTGAGTAAGTTTATAATTGTACCCTTAAAAATATAACACATAACACTTAAGTGCATATTTTCTTTTTAAAAAAAAAAATGCTAAGAGTTCAAATCAATTGGACCAAATTGAGACAAATTCATAAATTTAGGATCGGAATCGAGCCAATTGAAATTACAAGGACTAAAATTTCACAATGACCAAAATATAAGAACTACGCGTAATTTGCCCCATTGTTTATTGACTAATACCATTGTAAAGCAAGGCAAATACCTAACCTTAAGAAATTGTGAGTGTTAAGCAAGAATTCTAAGGTTGACTTAATAAGACACCTATAAATATACCTTGCTGTATATGATAAAAATATAAGTTGATCCAAAAAGGTTGAACTAGTTACTCCAAAAAGAGAGCCTAAAAGAGAACAAAATGGGAGAGTTCAATACTTAAGTGTCAAAGGTTACGAGGATGAGCAGGTCTGTGTGCCTTTGTGCCCTCCTCGGAATGCATTTTAGTGTCTATCTTGGCTTATTTTTGAATGTGTCCAAGGAATTTGGAGGAAAGAAAACATATATCACTTTAAGAATAAATTTGGTGAGTTTGAATTTGTTTCACTTTTCATATTTATCTAAATATTTGGTATCTACTTTTTGACTCATTTCTATAAAAATTAACCCCGTGTTTCCCAGGAAAAAAAAAATGAAACACAATAAATAAATAAAAAGTGATAATTCTCATGTCTTCCATCTCATTTTAGTTTTCAATCTTATGATTTTTAATCTTCTCCTAATCGACAATTTGAAATCTAAATGTACAGATCAATCAGACAGCATTGTGGCAGGAGGATTCATGATGGGTTCATCACTTTGACAATCAAAGTTCTCCAATTCTCCATTGCCAAATGTTTACAGTTCAGATACTTGAGGCCACTGCAGCCTGCACATTCGACTACATCCGTGCTATTTTGGGTTTCGTTTACTCGATCAATTTCTTCGATGTACTCTTGATTTTGATTTGTTTAATCTCTTTGTAAAGTTCATTCAAGCCAAAATGCTGTCATCAATCGCTATTTAACTAACACAATTGCAACAGCCTAACATTTCAGACCACAATTACTTTTATCCAGTCCACTAAAGAAACCTGGACACATATAGAGAGTGTTGCTTCGAATGGAGATAGCATTATTTGAGCCTACTTTTTTTTTTTTTGATAAATAACAAAACTTTATTAAGAAAGCATCAAGAAGATGCAAGCATTACAAAAGAGGCCTGAGACCTCGACCAAATTAAACAATCAAATCCTCTACAAACTCTACGAAAGCCAACACATCCGAATCTACGAAACCTGTCACCCAGCTATACAAAACAATAAGAAGGCGTCTCTCTAGCCAAGAAATGGAGTGAGCCATCCCCTGAAACACCCGCCTGTTACGCTCCAACCAAATCAACCACATTAAACAGTGGGACGCAAGAAGCCAAGCCTTCCGACGCCGCCGACCTAACCGTCCACCTACCCAACTTTGCACAACTGTGAGCACCGAACCTGGTTGAACCCAAACAAAACCAAAAACTACAATCATAAGCATCCAAAGAAAAGAGACGAGACTGGGCAAAGAATAAGCAAATGATCAACTGTTTCTGCTGCTCGACCACACAAACAACACCAATTGACCAAAATATGCCCACGACGAATCAAATTATCAATGGTCAAGATACCATCCAAACTTGCTGTCCATACAAAAAAGGCGACCTTTGAAGGCGAACCCGACAACCAAACACCTCTCCATGGATAAACCTTAGTGATATCCTGTGCAAACCCATCCCTAACAAGACTTCCATAAAAAGAAGAGACTGTAAAAACACCTTTGGATCTAGGACAATCCCAAACCAAAGTGTCTTCACCTTCCCTCACAAAGTTCGATCCCAAACCAAATTACATTCCACACTCAGAAGCTATGGGCACAACCTCTAGTGCTCTTGTGATGTTATTTGCTCTTTTTTTCATTGAAAAACTTGAGTTCATTTGTAGTAGTACAAATTCAAATGTGAGTTGCGTAGCGAGTGAGCGAGAAGCTCTTATGAAATTCAAAGGAAATCTCACAGATTATGCAAACCGTTTATCCTCATGGGTTGGAAAGGACTGTTGCATGTGGAAGGGAGTTGGTTGTAGCAATAAAACAGGCCATGTTGTGAAGCTTGATCTGCATAATCCAATTCATGATCTAGTTTATCCAAATTTCAAAATGAACCAACTGGGTGGTCAGATAAGTCTTTCCTTACCCGATTTAAATCATTTGTATTACCTAGACCTGAGCATGAATTCATTTTATGGTCCGCTGCCATCATCACTTGGAAGACTATCATATTTGAGAGTGTTAGATACTGGAGATAATCAATTGAATAGGAGCATTCCAATAAGTCTTGGACAACTTGCAAAACTAGAATATCTAGATTTGTCAAAAAATGCATTGAATGGGAGCATCCCAACAAGTCTGGGACAACTTTCAAAACTAGAATATCTAGATTTGTCAAAAAAATGCATTTGTTGACACCGTATTTGAACTTCACTTTGTCAAACTCAAGAGTTTAAATCAATTGTACTTGCATTCAAATTCATTAGTTTTGATGTGAGCTCCCAATGGGTTCCTCCCTTTCAACTCCAACTCATACGATAGGCATCCATCGAAACACAAAAAAATTTTACAGCGTTAGACATGTCTAATGCAAGCATCTCAGATGCCATTCCTGATTGGTTTGAGAGTATTTATTGTGGCATTATACACTTGGATCTTTCCAACAACCAGATCAAAGGAAAGGTGTCAATATTTCAAAAATGCAAATATAGATATAGTGCTCATGATAAATGGTTACTATTGAGTTCTAACAGATTTGAGGGCCCACTAACACCGCTTCCTTTAGATGTTTATTCCTTGGATCTTTTCAACAACTTGCTTTTAGGACCTATTACTGTGAGTGATGATAATGCGACGATGAGTTTGAGTTATCTTTTTCTCTCAAATAACAATTTGACTGGTGTCATTCCAGTGTCTTTGTGAAAGGCAAAGGATATAAATATTATTGATTTCTCAAACAATCAGTTATCAGGAAAAATTCCTCCTTGCTTGGGGCAATTGGATCAGTTGTCGGTGCTAGATTTGACGAATAATAGTCTATATGGTGAAATTCCAAGTTCATTGGGTTCCCCACAATTTCTCTTTTCCTTGCACTTGCGTAACAATATATGTTTTATGGGAAGCTTCCTTTGTCCTTACAGAATTTGACATTTCTTTTCACCATTGATCTAGGTGAAAATGTGTTCACTGATAATATCCCTCCATGGATTGGATATAACCTAACTAATCTTAATTTTCTCAATCTTCAATCAAATAATTTCTATAGTGATATTCCTCCACAACTCTGTCATCTCCGAAATTTGCAATTGTTGAACTTGGCACAAAATAACATAACGAGAAATATCCCTCGTTGTTTTGGCAACTTCACTGCCATGGTTGCACTAGATCGTGGGTTCATTTTCGGTCGAATTCTCTATTATCAGACTAGAGGAATTTATGAAGAGAATATTTTGGATTCAATGAAAGGAAGAGAACTAGAATACACCAAGACACTCAAATTTCTCGTCTCCATGGACCTTTCGAACAATGGCATTGCTGGAGAGATTCCGGAAGAGTTAATGGATCTTTTTGGGTTGCTCAACTTGAATTTATCTGGAAATCATCTAAAAGGTAGGATCCCTAATAATATTGGCAATTTGACACAATTGGAATCTCTTGATTTGTCTCGAAACAAACTTTCTGGGCCCATTCCTCAAAGTCTGTCTAGTTTAAGCTACCTAAGTCATTTGAACATGTCATTCAATAATTTATCAGGGCAAATACCAACGGGAAATCAACTTCAAACTCTCGACGATCCTTCCATTTATATAGGCAACGATGATAGCCTTTGTGGAACACCACTAAATAGCTACCTCGATGATAAATCATCTAATGGTGATCACAAACATGCTGATGAGAGTAAAGTTGCAGATGAAACTGATTTTTTGTGGTTCTATTCTACACTGGCATTGGACCTGGTTTCTTGGTTGGGTTCTTGGGGGTCTGTGGCACTTTGAATTTCAAGAAGTCTTGGAGGTATGCATACTTCCAGTTCATCGAAAATAACTACAATTGGATATCAATAAACATAGCAATCAAGTTCGCTCAGCTAAGGAGGAAGTTCAACAAAGGCAAATTTGGAGGATGAATTTATCACCCAATTGGTTCGTCTCTCTCTCTCTCTCTCTCTCACATCATGTACCTATATTACCTCTATATCTTGTTATGATTGCGATGTGTGCATCAAATCAACATCTTCATAACCCATGATTTATCTTGCATGAATCTTTTGAATTTTTTTACCGTTATTAACTTAACAATGCTATTCATGTTAATGATTTTTGGAACATCATCACAACGTGAAGAATAACCATTCATATTTTGAAGTGGAGTTAGTGATATTTCCAGATTATCATGAAAACATGTCTTACATTCAAGATCATATAGTAAAGTACAGATTAATTTCCACCAAATTTCTTTACCAAAAGCGCTAAAATTCTCCTTCACATGCTTAAAAACATTGGAAAAAAAAAATGCAGGTTTGTTGTTATATAGTTCAAATAATGCAAATACGTTTCTCAAATAATTTTTCAAAAGTCATTTGTTGCATTATTTCAGAGAAACCATGTTAACATCCACTAATATGTTGATGGGGTTTGATGATTTTGTGCCTTTTGTAAAATATTCTAAAGTAAGTCTTTCCTTAAATAAATGATTTGTGAACTATCGTATTGTCCGGAATATGTTATAGACTGTGTTTTGCATATATATGTATTCTCCTTTTATTGGTGAATTCTATGATTTTTGCCGATTGAGGCCATAGATTATAGTTTTAATGTTGAGCATTGAGCAAAATGCTCCAACAATGATATACATGTAGTAATGGTATCACTGAGAAAAATCTTATCAAAACAGAGAGCTATTATGCAACAGTCAAATTCACATATAAGTTCAACTATTCATGTTTTTCTTCACATTGTAGTAATCTTTACTTGTGTCAAAGCTTTTAATGATTTAGGAGAAGTATGTAACATCAGTAATACACAAGTATGTTTCTCAACTTGCATTACTTTTTATTTAATTTGTTAATGATTAATCCTTGCCAAAGATTTTGTGTGTGTGTGTGTTTTATTCTCTATCTATTTGTGTCTATTGAGTTTTATCCAATTTACAAGTGCTTGTGGTTGGCTTTTTAAATAACTTTTTGTTGATTTTTTTCATCTTTAATGATTTTTTTTTTTAAATTAAAAAGTGTTACACTCTTGAATTCTACTCGACTAGAGAAATTAGAAAAGATCAAAAAAATTGAAAATTTCGAAAAAAAAAGTCCAAAAATGATTTTTTAAAAAAAAACGGTTGAATTTTTATTTTTTTGTAACTTTTTTTTGTCTTTAAGATTATTTTTATTTGTTTTTACTTTTTAAATTCGTCTACACAAGACAAACCTAAAAAGTAAAAAAAATGGACATAATTTAGAAAGAAAAAAATCACTAAAAATTTAAAATATATATATAGATATATATATAACTTTTTTAGGTGAATCCCACACACTAACAAAAGCCAAAGCAATAAAACTGTCAATGTAACCAAAATATCATAAGTTTCCATATATGCAGATGCAAATGCAGATGATTAGCTCCTAACTACACATTGATTTCATCAGTCCACACAATTACCCAAAGGGTGTGTTTGTTTGGACGGATTGCATAAGGGGGGATTGTAATCCATCGGACTATTAGTCCTGAGATACATTGTCCCAGGACTATTTTGTTGGTTAGGATTTGTATCCTATGTTTGTTTAGTCATGGGGTTAGATGTCTGGATTGGACTATTTTTAGTGAATCCAATGTTTGTTTGGGATATTATGGAAAATGATAAATGCTCAAATGACTATTTTATCATTTTCAATTATTTACTAAGTAATAGTTTTAATATTTTAATTATTTTTAGCTAGATTAAATAAAAAATTATTTTATTTTATTTTTTGCACAATTAAATAAATTTATTTTTAAAAAATTAAATAAATTAAATAAAAATAAAAATATATGTTATTTTTAATTAAAATTTTAAATAAATTTATTTTAAATAATAATAATAATTAAATAATGAAATAAAATAAAACATCTATTAAAATTTAAATAAAATATAAACAAAATTTTATAATAAAACATCAATAAAATATCTATAAAAAAATATTTTAAAAAATTAAATAAATAAAACAAAAATAAAAATTACATAAAATTATTTTATTTTTAAATTGAGACATTTAAATTTTTTTGAATTTTACTAAATATAATACATAATTAAATACTAGAGGGCAAAAATGTAATTTCATTGTCTAATCCCATGGGATGAGTCATCCCATGGTTTCTATCCCACCCGCACCCCCCATGGGATAGGATAGTCCCACAAATATGGGACTAATAGTCTAGGAGGACTATTAGTCCGGAACAAAACTTTTGAAACAAACAATGGACTATTAGTCTGGTGGGATTAATAGTCCAATCCCACACCCTAATCCTTCAAAACAAACACATCCAAAGGGGATCTAAATCAATTATCACAATTTCAATAGGCATCAGCCAATCCTACACACCATACCAACAATTAGCATAGAGAAAAGGAAGATGCTACGATGTTCACCCTTAAAATGATGCATATGGTATTCTTTTGTATTATTTTAGTTCCTATATTTTCAAATCGCTTGATTTTAACTCTGAATTTTATATTTTGTCTCTTTTTGTCCAACTTGAAAATGGTAGTTAAGTTTTTTGACAGAAATTGGCCATGTGCATGTCACATGCCTTATTTTAAAGGATAAAATTGTAAATTTAATATTTTGTACATTATTCAGAGTGAGTTAACTCAATCAAATAAACACACATGTGGATCTCAATTATAGAAAGAGATGGTTTATGTTTAACAGATGGTGTATGTTTAACAGATGGTTTGACGAGGAAAAAGAATGGGGGTTTGCTCGACGGTGGGGCTGAGTTGAGGTAAGGCCTTGAGATTCGATTGGTGTCCGTTGTTGAGAAGGTCACGACCAGAGACCACTACTTTTGCTGCAGATTGTGAGATTTCATCTTTGTCATCATCAGCTCCTCATCTCTATTGCATGCTATTTACCATTTTGGGCAATAGAACCGATCCAAATTTTTCCTCCTTAAAATAAATAAAAACTTAACCAAGTTCTTTATGGAATTGTTTGTAAATTTTCTTATATTACTTTGAAAAAAGTCTTTTTGTCAATGGTGTTTTGCTAAGATATTATGGAATTGATTCAATGTGAAAATTTTAGAAACCACTAATGTAATTTGTCCAATAAAAAAAGGCAAGTTCCGTTTGTCACTAGTAATTTTAGAAGTTTGAGAGGGGGGGGGGAACGCAACTAATACAGGTAATACGTAAATATAAAAAATAATTAATAATAGAACATACATTTCAATATAAAGATATAATAAATTTTTTTTTCTTTCTATATGATCAATGAATGGCCAATAATACTACATTTATTTTTTTTTAATGATATTAGTTTACCATCTCATGGTCATGATTGCATTGGTTAAATTGGTTCCATCACTAGGGACAATTTCAAGGCAATTGTGATAAATGATATGGTAAAAAGTGTGATCATATAAATGAATGACTCTGCCTAGTGGCAAAAGGATAGACCCTAAGAACGAACTGTAAACCTAAACATATCGAGTTCGACTCTTACTAGTGTTTCTCAGACTTAACCGACATGTGTGATTTGTAGGCAATCTTTAGAAGGAAAGTGATTAAGAGCTCTAAAATTAGAACTTTAATATGAGCTCTAGTGATGTGACAAAGCAAAATAATAAAAAATAAAAAATAACCAAAACATCACATCGTTTATTGGAACCCATCATTAGAGCTCTCTCTAAAGCTCTTCCTCTAAAACTCCTAAACATTTTTCTTTTTAGAATTCGAGATTTACTTACTCTAAAGAGTGGGTCCAATGTAGCTTTCATGATTGCATTGGTTAAGTTTGTTGAGTTTTTTTTTTTTTTTTAATATTATGAAGGAAAAAAAAAAAAAACAATTTAGAGAGTTGACCCACTTTTCAAACTATTTGGAAAACTAACTTACTTTTTGAAATCGCATTTTTAAAATGCGATTTTTAAATTGAAATTACATTTTCAACATGCAATTTCACCTTGAAATCGCAGGTTGAAAATGCAATTTATGATGACATGGTGAAATTACATGTTGAAAATGCGATATGAAATTACATGTTGAAAATGTGATTTCAATTTCAAAATCATATTTTCAAAATGTGATTTCAAAAGCAGGTTAGTTTCCCAAATAATTTGAAAAGTGGATCAATTCTCTAAATTGTTTTTTTTTTTAGAATATTATAAAAAAAAACTCTAAGTTTGTTCCATCACCCCCGTTCTGTAATTATCTTTTTTTGTTCTTATTAGTCATAGAGATGCGAGAGTAGGAGAGAAATAAGTGGGGGGAACTGTTCATATGGGAACCATAATTAAGTAAATTTCCAATTAAAAAATCTTGCCACACAAGCAAAAGTTGAAAACCACCATCTAGGGACATTTTCAACCGCTATGGTTTGAGAAGTGTTATTTTAATTAATTTTTTAATCTTTTAAAAAAAATAGAAAGAGTGATATAATAATTTATAGTGACTTTTTAACTATATTAGTCTAATGTCAAACAAGGTTTATCAAATTTAAATTTGGATAAAAATCTTGCAAAACACCGCTCTACTCATTGACTCAAATTTATATGAAATTGAGTTTTACCCATTTTTTTAACCCAATTTAAAAAAGACTTAAATATATACTTGAATTTGTTTCAAGATCATTTTGTAATTTTCAAATTTACCACTCTGTCATTACTGAAGTTTTACCCAAATTTATGTTCAAACCTAAGTTTATCCAATGGAATGTCATATCAAATCAAACTTAGATTTTTAATTAAATTTACAGTAGTACTACATCCACACAATTTCTTCCCCTCACAATCATCCCCCT